CGGTTGATAGGAGTTGCACCTTTGGGAGAATGCGTTGTTCCCAACAGGTACTAGCAGTAAGGTCCGGTTTGCCGGGCCCCGTCTTGAGGCTAGGATTGCTCAGCCCCCCTGCTTGACTTCTTCTGCTTGACTCTTCTCCTTGCTTGCCCTGAGTTAGCAATAATCAACAAGCGAATACCGTATCCACGACCGGAGACCTTCCACTCCTTGTCACAAGCCACCTTCGAGGCTCACTTCTACCGCTGTTCCGACTCATCTACCGAACTCGGTACCGATCGAGAGGCAGCTACCATCAGGTCGGTAGCAGTGCTTGTAGTCTGGGGTCCCATGCACAATCCGCTGTGGACGATTCCTCTTGACACCTAGGGTCCTGTCACTTGAATGATTAGAGACCACACAGACCCACAGACATTGGGCCAGCCCCTACCCCTAGCCTCTCCATCCGTTTTAGAGTTGGTGTACTGGAATGCACCAAAGACACCTTCAGCAGCGACCTCAACAGCCCGCACCAGGGCGCCATCCACGTCCGGCCTACTGCTGCTCTCTCCTCCCGCAGTGTCGCCCTCCCTGACGACCACGCAGCTCTTGGTGGCTGCTCGGTGGAACACACAAATCCCGCCGCACCTGCCGTGCCTCTCGCAGCACGGCCCGACTAATCCTGGCCTCACCCACCCGACTTGGCCTGCAGAAGCGATGGCAGCCTGCCCATCATCTCCTACACCCCTGGTTCTCGCCTCGACTCGAAACCCTAATCAAAACTTGCGCGTCGTGTCACTCAGTAATGTCCTTACCACGGGATCACGCACAACGCTCCTGCTGCTGCTTCTCACCACAGCTGAACTCTGAAGATCATCGGGTTCCTCCGGAGGATGCATTCTAGAATGTTGGTATGCCCTTGTTGTGTGACCTCCAGAGTCCAAAGAGTGTTGTTAACGGCATGTATTATCGTAGGGGGACATGAGGGAGAAGGAGGGAGGAAGAGTGCCAGGCCCAAAGCCAGTCGGAAAGGGGGCCCGCAACTCGTATCTCAAGGTCTCTCCTAGCCACCCCTCAAGGTAATCCCATCTGCGGTACACGAAACCGCCAGTGGTTTGGTACAATCCGACTAATCTACCTCCACGCACGAACAGCCAATTTGCCGATACCCTTCCACGGGCTTTCAGGTATTATGTGATGAAGTGGTTGACGGAAGGGTTCCCTGCAATATGCACGTTGAGCTTTGCGGTGTCGGGTACGGAACTTGAATCGCATTCTAAAGGGCAAACCATCGTGTGAGTACACGCTTTTCGGCATATTTTGTCGTTGGGGTAGGGCATGACATACACAAAATTGCGACCTGTTTATACGACCTGTTTACTTCTAAAATCCGAGGCGCTCCAACGAAAGGTTTCCTTTGCTTTCGTCCGCTACACATCCCGCCTCTCTTCAGGTAGTATGTGGTCCGTCTAATGGACAATTCTGCTCTGCTGCCTGCCCACAAAGTGGCTCATAGTCGGTGTGCTCATCTCTCTCTCTTTGCTATNCTTTCGTCCGCTACACATCCCGCCTCTCTTCAGGTAGTATGTGGTCCGTCTAATGGACAATTCTGCTCTGCTGCCTGCCCGCAAAGTGGCTCATAGTCGGTGTGCTCATCTCTCTTTGCTATATTTGGCCGATGTTATAATGCGCCCATGCGTCCATGTCAATTGATTTCAGGTGCGAGCACTTCTGGATTACGTGGATGTAGAAGGCGGCGTGCTCGATTGCTGTGGCGCCGGACAGGACGCAGTCAGCACGGTGCTGACAGCGCGCGGTCTTCGTGTTGCTACGAACGACTTAAGCCTCACGTAAGCGTATGCGTGTCTTGCGGCCTCTTTCGAAGCCACCACGCGCCGGTGTACATGCTGGCTTCCTAAACTCCGAGCCCCCCACGCTGGTGACAGGTCTACCGTTGTCTAAAAAATCACACCACGGTTGATTTATTGTCTGCATGAACGAAGTGTTTCATAGCGATTTGTTTCTTGGCAGGGTGAACGATGTGTTTCACGATTTTTTTGTTTTTTTACAGGGAAGTGATGTGTCCCAAAACACAGCGCTTCTGGCAAGTACCTGCACGNATTTGTTTCTTGGCAGGGTGAACGATGTGTTTCAAGATTTTTTTTTTTTACGGGGAAGTGATGTGTCCCAAAACACAGCGCTGCCGGCAAGTACCTTCACGCAAAATCCCCAGAAACTGATGAGCTTTTATAAATCCCAAACAATACTGTATAACACAACCCCAACCCCCGGTCTTTCCCCCGAATGGGACACAAGTTCGAACAAACTACCCCCCCCCTCCAAACCTCACAGATGGATTGGTTTTTGAGTTTGTGTTAAGGAGTGTTGCTGTATGGCACAGATAGGGTACACAGTCGGTCTAGATTAAGATGGGGGACGTCAGGAGGTAT